AGTGAAAATCACCTCACACCAGTCAGAATGGCTAAAATGAACAACTCAAGAAACAAGAGACATTGGCAAAGATGTGGAGAAAGAGAAACTCTCTAACACTGTTGATAGGAATGCAAACTGGTGAAGCCACTTGAGAAAACAGTATGGAGGGTCCTCAAAAAGTGAAAAATGGAACTGCCCTATGAGCCAGCATTTGTACTACTAGGTATTCACAGGATACAAAAAAAAGTGGATTGAAGGGGCACATGCACCCCAATCTTTATAGCAGCAATGTCCACAACAGCCAAACTACGGAAAAGAGTCCAGAGGTCCATCGACAGATGAATGAATAAAAAAGATAGTACCATGGAATATTACTCAGCCATCAAAGAGAATGAAATCTGGCCATTTGCAACAACGTGGATGGAACTAGAGGGTATTATGCTCAGTGAAGTAAGTCAGAGAAAGGTAAATACCATATGTTTTCACTCATATGTGGAATTTAAGAAACAAAACAAAGAGAAGGAAAAATAAAGTAAGATAAAAACAGAGAGGGAGGCAAACCAAAAAGAGACTATTTTTAAAAAATATTTTATTTATTTATTTGAGAGAGAGAGCATGAGTGGGGGAGGGTCAGAGGGAGAAGTGGACTCCCCGCTCAGCAGGGAGCCTGATGTGGGACTCCATCCTGGGACTCCAGGATCATGACCTGAGCTGAAGGCAGTCCCTTAACCAACTGAGCCACCCAGGCGCCCCCTAAAAGAGACTTAACTATAAGAAACAAACTAAGGGTTGCTGGAGGGGAAAGGGGTGGGGGGATGGGGTAACTGGGTGGTGGGCATTTAGGAAGGTACCTGATGTAATGAGCACTGGGAGTTATATGCAGCTGATGAATCATTAAACTCTACCCTTGAAACTAATATTATACTATATGTTAACTAAATTGAATTCAAATAAAACATTAAAAAAATAGCGATGTTTGATTCAAATTATTTGGGAGTGTGCTAATTTTCAAAGCAGTCATGGCACTTACCTCTCCCCTGGAGCCTTTTATACCTCCTTTCTCTCCCTATCAGATGTCACCAGTGAATTCGTCTGCTCTATTGATTGTCCTAGAAGGACTCATACAATTCTTGTGGTATTTGGGGTTTGTTTTCATCACAGATCTTTCCCCATTCTAATATGGGCATAATCAAAACATCAGCACCTCCTCACTTCTTATCCAGAACTTTGCAGAGGCCAATTAGGCAAAGATTTCCTTCCAAAAATTTAGGCCCTCTTGATAAAAGAAAAAGAAAAAAAAAAAAAAAGCATACAATTGATTTCAAGAAGCATCAAATATATATTAATGCCTACTGGGTATGGCTGAGTAATTTACATTTATGGCAGGAGTTATGTTTAACTTACCTTGAAAACAGATGAATAATAGATAGAAGGAAGAAAATGAGCATTTGTGAAGCCACTGCTCTATGTTAGACTTTGAGATAGATGTTTTCATATACTAATTCATTTAATCCTCTCAAATCCATGTGAAAGAGGTATTATTATTATTCTTATAATTATACAAAACACACAGAAAATATTAAATAACTGATTCATGTACCTAATCCCTGTGACTCCAAGGCTCTTTCTACCAAACACCTGTAGAACTATAAAAAATGATGTAAAAATAGTAAAAATTGAAAAGCTCATTTCTTTGTTTCTGCCTTGTTAGATTAATCCTATGCAGCAAAATGTCACCACCAAATGCAAGATGTATTTTATAAATGTTTATTCATCACTTAAGGGTACATTAGAGAGACTGGGAACTTGATCTTTATTTTCCTACTAACAGATGTTTTTACTCAGAAACATGTAATTGAGCACTTCGGGGCAATTATTTTAAAATATACTGCTCACCTTTCCAATAACTTTCCATGTGGCTCCCTGAAATTAAGACACATTTCATGTTGAGTCATCAAACCGCCACAAGCCCCCTCCTTGGAGACAATGCTACCTCAAAAAGTATAGTTTTAAATTGCCAACCTAGTACAAGGAGGAAGAATGTCAGACCTCCTACATATTCAGAGCCGTCTGTCACCAGATCGGGAGCAGCTTTTTGAGGCTTTTTAAACCTCTCTCCAGTGTTACCTCTCCTTACATCCAGGTGATTATTGCATTCATAAAGCATTTTTCTCCTTTTCAGACATTTTAGAATCCTAAAGTCCATCTGTATCAGGTGAGATTTTAAAAGACAATTTAAATAGTCGTTGCAATTACTTGATTTCTCCAAATGTGTTATGCTCTAACACATCTTTTTATCTTTCTATCTGCTGTTTTCCCTACCTACCTTGCTGCTGCATTGCCCACCCACCCTGTCACCTCTTGCCAATCTTTGTCAAGACCCATTCCATCATGCACTTTCCTCCAAAACATCTCCTGACTCCACCTAACCCCATAGGCAGAGTTCTGTAACTTCCCATTGTGGCCACATTAAGCATCGTGAAAAACTATCCTAACAGCCATTCCCTACAGTTGTTTACCATCTCTCCTCCTCTAAACTAATGCTATTCACAAACTGCTGTACATATTCACACAGGCTAAAGCAATGATATTAAAAAAAATAATCCCTACCTAGCCCAGTGCCTCATTCAGTGTTTGAATACATTTTTGGTAAATGAAAAAAATATATATAATTATTTGTTTTATTAGAGCAACAGAAATTTACTGAGCCACTACTATGTACAGATCCCTGTACTAAAAGTTTTTGCTTAGGAGGTGAAGAGCGTGAGCTGTAAACTATACAGACCCTTCCTCGCCACTTACACACTCTAAGATGTGTGGCAAATTAATGAACCCCATTATACCCCAGTATACAATAGTGGTCAACCTGTGTAGTTAATGATATAAATGTTTATTAGATATTTACTAACAGACCTAGAACACAAGCATTAAGGACCTTGCTGCCCATTTGGGAACACAAGACAAGAACAGACTTCAGAACACAATTATTTTCCTTTGGATCATCTACTGTCCCTAAGTCGCAAACCAAAATTTTCCTTGTGGTGGTGGTGGGAAGGAAGCTAAGGGGGATGGGAGGTGGGAATTAAAGAGGGGAACCCATCCCGACTCACTAAATCCTCTCTTTTGCTATGCTAATCCACTCTCCTGATATTAACAACTGCTCCTCTGGCAGGATCCTAGGTCTCTAGGTAAAAGTTGCTATTATTGATTGTTCATATAGGTCCTCAGGGTAGCTCAGAAAGACAATTTAGGAAACTATTCCCAAGACCCTAGCTGGATATCATCTCTTATTTTATTTTTTTCTATTACTTTGGGAAAGGAACAGCATGAGGATAATTGCAGCCCAAATCCATCTTGATTGGAGGCCTCAGGAGAGTAAATGGATATTCAGGGATTCCACCCTAATCTTTTCTTATATACAAATCCATAATTACCTTGTTTCTTCTTTAAAAAGATGATTAAAAAAATGCAGCCAGCATTTTCTCTGTACTTTCTTGCCCTAAATCAGTGAGACTTCCACATATCTGCATGGCAAATATCTCCATCCTTTTAAATGGCACTTTACATGCATCTTGCAAACCATGTACTGTAATCAATATTCCTTACTGTGAAAATGTGCTTTAAAAATGATATGATGTTTACCCAATACTGAGTCTCTTTTCCCTCATATTGTCACATTCAAAAGCACATCAGCTCAGTGGTAATTGAAGGCTTACAAATTCTATGTTCTTAGGGCAAAGAAACTGAATAGTGAAACACAAAACACACATAAACATAAAGTAAAATGTGACTTTAACTTCTTCAATAAACTAAAATGTTCTACTAAATCTACAAGGTGTTTGTTGATTTTTATCATTTATTGTTATTATTTTTAGCAAATCTCACTTTAGATGCGGTATCCTATACAGAATGAATTTATAGACAATGTCAAAATCAAAAAGAAAGTATAAATGCAAAATTAAATTGTTTTTTAAATTTAATATACCATGTTCTTAAATTGGTTCCACTACCTAAAAAAGTTGATTATCACAAGAATATGCCTCATCTGATGAAAAGGATTCAGTATGGCCTAATTAATGCTAGTTTCCTTTTCTACCTAGAGACCCATTTCAGTTATACACAGAATGGTAAGTTTAATGACCAAGGAAAAAAAAAGAAAGTGGTGGTAAGAGTTTAGAATAATAGCAACTCTTACAAACTGTGTAACCCAAACTTTCAAGCAGCACAAAACAAATTGTCAGCTCAGTTAGGTAGTATATGAGGATTAAATTTTTGATCCCCTTTGCACATTTATTTTGAGCTTTATAATGTACTGGTAATCAATGGAATGAAAAAGGCAGAAAAGTTTCTAAGCTACTTAGACTCAGAGATTGTAGTCTGCATTTCATAATCATTATAACTTCTTTTACTTCACAGGACAGTTTATTATGCTTCAAGTACTCGGAGAGAAAATGAGTCAATACTTGTATTTTCATGAGCTTCAATCTTCTTCTAAAATAAATGTGCAACTTCTACTAAAACGATCTTAAAAAGTAAAGATATTACATGAATTTAGTGTGAGGAAGTCCAAAGGACCTGGATGTTCTTAATTAATAATTATCTTAATGTAAGATTTTTTAGGAGCTTGTTCAAACACTATTATTCACATTGAATTTGACTTAGCTTGGCCAGGAAAGATGAATATTTTAGATAACATTTGCAAGTTAAGTTTTTTGTAATGGCTGATCATTTACAAATTTACTTCTGAAGCTGTATCTATGAAATGATTTTTTTTTTAAAGATTTTATTTATTTATTTGAGACAGAATGAGATACAGAGAGCATGAGAGGGAGGAGGGTCAGAGGGAGAAGCAGACTCCCTGCCGAGCAGGGAGCCCGATGCGGGACTCGATCCCGGGACTCCAGGATCATGACCTGAGCCCAAGGCAGTCGCTTAACCGACTGAGCCACCCAGGCGCCCGAAATGATTTTTTTAATAAAAGGCGATTGTAAGCCGCCCCTCCCCCCGGCGCGCCGGCCTTGCCGAGCGGGCCGGCCGGCCTGGCTCCCCTCCCCGGCCCCGTCGGGCGGGCGGGCTGCCCTGAGGAGGCGGGGAGGGGAGGGCTGGGCCGGCCGGCGGGTGGGCGACGATGCCGAACTTCTGCGCTGCCCCCAACCGCACAGGAAGAGTACGCAGTCGGACCTGGCCTTTTTCAGGTTCCCGCGGGATCCGGCCAGATGCCAGAAGTGGGGGGAGAATTGTAGGAGAGCAGACTTAGAAGATAAAACACCTGATCAACTAAATAAACATTATCGATTATGTCCCAAACACTTTGAGACCTCTATGATTTGTAGAACTAGTCCTTATAGGACAGTTCTTCGAGATAATGCAATACCAACAATATTTGATCTTACCAGTCATTTGAACAATCCACATAGTAGACACAGAAAACGAATAAAAGAATTGAGTGAAGATGAAATCAGGACACTGAAACAGAAAAAAAATTGATGAAACTTCTGAACAGGAACCAAAACATAAAGAAATAAATAACAGCAATGCTCAGAATCCCAGTGCAGAAGAAGGGGGTGAAGAACAGGATGAAGACATTTTACCTTTAACCCTTGAAGAGAAAGAAAACAAAGAATACTTAAAATCTTTATTTGAAATTTTGATTCTTATGGGAAAACAAAACATCCCTCTGGATGGGCATGAAACTGATGAAATCCCAGAGGGTCTGTTTACTCCAGATAACTTCCAAGCACTGCTGGAGTGCCGGATAAATTCTGGCGAAGAGGTTCTGAGAAAGCGCTTTGAGACAACAGCAGTTAACACATTGTTCTGCTCGAAAACACAGCAGAAACAGATGCTAGACATCTGTGAGAGCTGCATTTGGGAGGAGACCCTCAGGGAAGTGAGAGACTCCCACTTCTTTTCCATCATCACTGATGACGTAGTGGACATAGCAGGGGAAGAACACTTGCCTGTGTTGGTGAGATTTGTTGATGAATCTCATAACCCGAGAGAGGAATTTGTGGGCTTCTTGCCTTATGAAGCTGATGCAGAAATTTTGGCTGTAAAATTTCACACTACGATAACTGAGAAGTGGGGGTTAAACATGGAGTATTATCGTGGCCAGGCTTACATTGTGTCCAGTGGATTTTCTTCCAAAATGAAAGTCGTTGCTTCTAGACTTTTAGAGAAATATCCCCCAGCTGTCTACACACTTTGCTCTTCCTGTGCCTTAAATATACGGTTGGCAAAATCAGTGCCTGTTGTGGGAGTATCTGTTGCGTTAAGAACAATTGAGGAAGTTTGTTCTTTGTTCCATCGATCTCCACAATTGCTTTTGGAGCTTGACAATGTAATTTCTGTCCTCTTTCAGAATAATGAGGAAAAGGGTAAAGAACTGAAGGAAATCTGCCATTCTCAGTGGACAGGCAGGCATGATGCTTTTGAAATTTTAGTGGACCTCCTACAAGCACTTGTTTTATGTTTAGATGGTATAAATAGTGATACAAATATTAGATGGAATAACTATATAGCTGGTCGAGCTTTTGTACTCTGTAGTGCAGTAACAGATTTTGATTTCATCGTTACCATTGTTGTTCTTAAAAATGTTCTATCTTTTACAAGAGCCTTTGGGAAAAACCTTCAAGGGCAAACCTCTGATGTCTTCTTTGCAGCCAGTAGCTTGACTGCAGTGCTGCATTCACTAAATGAAGTGATGGAAAATATTGAAGTTTATCATGAATTTTGGTTCGAAGAAGCCACAAATTTGGCAACTAAGCTTGATGTTCAGATGAAACTCCCTGGGAAATTCCGCAGAGCCCAGCTAGGTAACCTGGAATCTCAGCTCACTTCTGAGAGTTACTATAAAGAAACTCTAAGCGTTCCAACAGTGGAACACATTATTCAGGAACTGAAAGATATATTCTCAGAACAGCACCTCAAAGCTCTTAAATGCTTATCTCTTGTACCCTCTGTCATGGGACAGCTCAAATTTAATACATCGGAGGAGCACCATGCTGACATGTACAGAAGTGACTTGCCCAATCCCGACATACTCTCAGCTGAGCTGCATTGCTGGAGAATCAAGTGGAAACACAGAGGGAAAGATATAGAGCTTCCATCCACCATTTATGAAGCCCTGCATCTACCAGACATCAAGTTTGTTCCTAATGTTTATGCATTGCTAAAAGTCCTACGCATTCTTCCTGTGATGAAGGTTGAGAATGAACGCTATGAAAATGGGCGAAAGCGTCTCAAAGCATACCTGAGGAACACTTTGACAGACCAAAGGTCAAGTAACTTGGCTTTGCTTAACATAAATTTTGATATAAAACATGATCTGGATTTAATGGTGGACACGTATATCAAACTCTATACAACTAAGTCAGAGCTTCCTACAGATAACTCAGAAACCATTGAAAATACCTAAAAGACTTTTAAAGTAGGCTTTCTCTTATGTTTGATATTTGGAAAAATCTGTAAGAAATTTGAAAACATCTTACAGAAAGGCTGTCAGGTGTATGTAGGCCACTTAATCACTGAATATCTTGACCTGTCGACCTCTCATTGAGTACATTAGCCATTGATAATCTGCCAATTTAAATGGCCCCTGTTTAAACTCTCATGCTTTGGAGACATACCTGTTCCAGAAGATAGCATTGAAAGTGCCACATTACACTTCTGTGGGATCTCTGCTAATGGCACTTGGGAATTGTTTTAGTTAAGTCATTTTAGATAAAACATTTATTGTCACTGGATCCAACTGTCTGGTATTGAGTTATCAGTTCTTAGAAGATAAAGATTTTGAAGAGGTATGGGAGGAAGGAGTACATTTTATAAAATGTTACAATGAAGCTCAGAGTGACCTTTGAATAGTAGGAGTGTTAGTATGTTAAAAATCTGTAATGGACAGTTAAGGGAGTTACCAGACAGAGAGAGAGAGAGAGAGAGAAACACGTGAGCTTGCCAGGCAAGGACTGCAGTAGAGATTTTGTCTTTATCAAATAAACTTAAAGGAACAAGTTACAGTTAAAGTTTGAATGGGAGAGCCTGCCATTGTTGTCCCACATTGGATTGTTGCTGTTTACATTCCTTTGTTGAGCCTACATCTTCATAAGCTCTTTAGCAAGTGTATGTAGAACACCTACGTCTTCATAAGCTTTTTAGCAGGTATATGTTGAACACCTCTGTTCATGGTCAAGACAGGATCAGAGGCCATGGATACAGACAACTGATTTGTCTGTTCTCCTCTTTTTCCATGACTATATCTACTGCCTCATCTTGATTTATAAACAAAACCTGGAAAACCTACAAAAATAAGTATTTTGTGGTTTATCTAGGAATAATACAGAAAATATTGCTGTTATTTTTGGTGAAGAAAATCAATTTTGTATAGTTTATTTCAACCTAAATAAAATGTGAATTTTGTTTTAAAAAAAAAGGCAATTGTAAGAATATAAGCAAAATATCTATCAAAATTACAATGAAGGAGCCAAGTATTATGGATAATACCTGCCATTTTATGGCATATTATTAATATTAAAGTTCAATTATGTCAAAATAAAAATATAAAAGCTGCAACACTATCTTTTGTCATGTATTTGGAACAATGCATTAAGTACTCCAGATACACTTACTGAATTCTGACATAGTGAATATACTTTTAGGAATCTACTTTAGGAAATAAATATTAAAAACAGCACTTTAAGGGCACCTGGGTGGCTCAGTCATTAAGCGTCTGCCTTCGGCTCAGGTCATGATCCCAGAGTCCTGGGACTGAGCCCCATATCGGGCTCCCTGCTCCGCGGGAAGCCTGCTTCTCCCTCTCCCACTCCCCCTGCTTGTGTTCCCTCTCTCGCTGTGTCTCTCTGTCAAATAAATAAAATCTTTAAAAAAAAAAAAAAAAACCTAGCACTTTAAGTAATAAAATCTCTGTAAAAACAAGTGAGACACCATAAATATCCAAATACACATGCATGCTTAAGGAAACCATTACCTATCAGTTCAAAATTCTATGTAGCTATTGACAATAGCAGTGGTATAATGATCTAATTTTTTTTAAAAGCTTATATTAGATTAACCATGTATCTTGATGTGCTCAGGGCAGTCCCAGCATAGCATTTTTTTTGTAGACAAGTTAATATTTCTTTCATTCTTCCTTTCATTTTTAAAGATCAATTATATGTTCATTGTAACTGCTATATAATTTAAAGAGGGAAAAAGTCAAGGAACAAAATAATATGCATGACATACTATAAAAGGCACAAATAAATAACAAAAAATAAGAATTTTAGGGTCAGAGGGAAAAAAATCAGAATAGTAAGTATTTGGGGGGGCAAGAGCGATAGGCAATTCTTCCTATTTTACATTAGACTGTGGGTCAAATGTTCCATAATGAGCATGAATTACAATGAAAATGGCATAAAACAATTCCTTTATGGTATGTCGGTGAGTTATGCCAAAATAACTCTAAAATATTCAAGGCAAAATTTCAACTTTCCATTGAAACCTTTTGTATGTTGGATCTGTCTTTTTTCATAAGGCCCTTTGGTTACGTCATTTTTATGCTCCCTGCATGGTACCTTCATTCATTCATTCATTCTCCCATATATGATGTGCTTTTATCAGTGAGAGGAGCTGATAGTTTAGTGGTCTCTTAGCAGGTTGAGAAGTTTGATAAGAAACATAATATATAATTTATCTTTATCATAATTAGCCTACCTACATCCAAGTAACAACCATAAGGGCTTTTTCTTTTCCAAAAAGCTCTACGAATGAAGGAGAATAAGGTTCTTAATTCTCTCATTTTTTTGGGAAAATGAGAGAACAAAGAACAATGCAGAGTATATGGACTCTACCCAAGTCTCCTGTCACTAAACTCCAGGGGGAATGACACCATACAAAACCTTTTTTTTTTTTTTTAAGATGTATTTATTTATTGAGAGAGAGAGAGAGAGAGAGACCACACATGCATGCACACACAAGTTGGGGAAGGGACAGAGGGAGAGATCTTCAAGCAGACTCCTGGCTGAGTGTGGAGCCTAACACGGGGCTCTATCTCATGACCCATGAGATCATGACCTGAGCTGAAATCGAGTCAGATACTTAACCTATAAAACTTCTTTGAAGTTTGGACCACTCTTAACAGTCTAGAGAGTTAGAAGGTGTCAGTTTCAAAAATTGGTCCAGTGCGTGGGAGACTGGTTAGGAAGGATGGTAGTCATGCCTCACTTTCACATGATTTGGTTAAGATAGATCCTCTACTACCATAGCTTCTATGCTATCTGGGAGGGGTTTCAAAATTTGATTATGTCCCTTTTAGAGTGTGGGAGTCAGCTTAGAGAGAAGAGACAGAAAATCAGGGTAAAGAAAGGTAAATTGTGGATCACTCTTTTGGGGATAATAGTGAAAATGATGTTTTTTGCAGAGTGGTCATAATTGTAGAAGTTGATAAGGAAGTTTAGACAAGAGAAGGATATTGTCTAGGTCTGTCTAAGGAATCTCTTTATGTTGTTTGGACTAGCAGGGCATACCAGACAAGGCTAATTAGAATGAATTGGTGCAAACTTAAGACAAACCATGATCAAGAACAGATAGTAGTGGGAAAAGGGAATTTTTTGGGTGGAGTTTTAACTTTAATGTGACTTAACTGTGGATCAGAATTGACTAATAAGTCATTGAATTGGATAGAGGAAAAACAATCCAAAGTTTATCTTAGGTAGATTAGATAAATTTCTCTCTTATTTGGTAAATTGTAACCCAGGCTTGGGAATCCAACTGAGTTAAAGAAAGAAACAATGACAACTGTTGATTTTGCACATGGAAGTTTGTGGCTGTGATGATAGCTATTCACATGTTTGGTCCATCCTTTGAATGTAACAAATAGTTATGGTGGCCAATAATTAACAATGAATGCTCTTGTTAAAACCTGAGCCTCTGAGCTTTTCTGTTAGAGAATGTAATTACAGGACTATACATAATGTACCCAGGAGTAGAATCTGTTTTCAGCTCATGTCTCAGAAAGTCACTACTCTTGCCAATGTTAGAAGATCAAAATTAACTCCCAATGGTGGCAGAATACAAAAGACTAAAATAGCTCATATTTGCATCACATAGACATTGGGATTATGTACAGAGAAAAAGTAGCAGTGCCCTCACGAAGAGAGAGAAAAGCCATTTCTTGTCGTAAAGTAATTAGAAATAGGGATTTCTTCCCTCTTGGAAGGAATCAAAGTTTCCTCAAAATTGCAACTGATATAACACACACACACCAGAAAAGAATACTAAAGTAAATTATGAATTTTGAGATAATTTATAAGAACAAACTAAGAATAAGGACTGAGTTGAGGAAAGTATCTCAGATACACTAGTGAGGAACTGAAAGAAACTACAGGACATACAACTGAGAAACAACTGAGAAGCAAGAGTCCACTGATGAGTCAAAAAACAAAACAAAACAAAAGGAATAAAGACCAGACTAGATGGAGGCAGTTTATTGAACTGTATCTTACAAAGTATTTACCCAGCTACTTGGTCAAGTGGAAACCAATTTTTATTGTATGTAATTATATTAGATTAACTGCATGTTATATCTCATTCTGTAGTGAGCATGCAGTCATTTTACAATGTTTTCAAAATGTCTTAGTTAAGAAATTGATCACATCTATCAATATTTTATCCTGAAGAGGAATCCATAAAATTGTGTATACTCTTTTCACAATTAATTTCTAGAGAAACTGACTCCAAAGAGTTTCTCTGGGGGAGAAAAATATTGTTTTTGTTTTTGATATGTCTACCATTTCCAATCACTCCTTATCTCCTAGACATATTTAACTGGATTAGGGAAACTATGATACCCCTGAGGTATCTTGTCTTGAAATGGCCCAACAGTCATCTCTATATTGGATGGTGAGAAGTCAGCCAAGTACAATTCTCTCTCTTGGAAAAAATGTATATCTAATGCACACATAGAGGATGGGCTGCCTGAGTCAAGTGTTGAAAATGCTATTGGGCTATTGAAATGTCTATCCATGAGGTCTTCTGGTCACCTTAGTCTAAGGAGTGTTCCCAGAGTAACTGAATGATTGCAAAAATGACATCACACACAACCTCACATTTTTTTGTGCACCAGTACAACTTATCCTCACCACCAAATATAATCTAAGCATGTGTTTTCCTTGCTCTGCTGAAGAGACATACTAGTGCATTTCTAGATTGGATAGAAACAACTTGATTATCAATTTCTAACCTTGGTACCTATAAAGTAAAATCTAAGTAAGGAGCCCACCTTACAGAATATTGAATAAACACAGCATACAATCTACATTTACCCAATGGACTGTTTCAGCCAATACGAATAAAACATAATGCAAGATTACTAAGGACACAATAGTAGAATCAACAAATGTAGATTCAAGGAGAACAATACCAAATACACACAAATCTATGTATGCACAA